AATCGATCTTGATGGTCAGACTGAATATCTATTAACTTTTCGAGTCAGGTAAAAATAAGAAAAAATGAGCTGTTAGCGCAATCCCTTGCGAGATAAAAAATATGAAATGGAATGTAACCGTTCTTTAATACAAAAGAGAATACATTCCTCTATAATGATTTACCATACATCATAGACTTTGAATAGGATAAGACTCTATATATTCCAATTATAGAATTATAAAATATCATCACAGAATCATTATAGATCCTCCAATAATCTCTCTTCTTACGATTGGTGACAGTCCTAATAGACTTAATAAATTTTATCAGTAAACTAATAGAAAAATTTCTGCAATTAATTTGATTATCTTATTAATTTCTCATATTTGGAATTAGATGAAAACGTCATTATATCTTCTATTACAATTAATATAGAAATGAGGAAGTCCTGAGATTAATCTATCTACGGTCGATTTTTAATTTAAAACTAAGCGATGTAACTCAAAGCTCAATTGAATAATCTTAGATTTTCAACGAAATATTCAGTTCATTTATCTATGATTCATTTCATTAATTTATCCAGTTCGTATCATACCTCTAGTTGTTATGGTTAATGTATGTGTATTCGATGTATTAGATGACGCCATGTATGTTTTTTTGTCGTTATAAATGAAAACTATTTCAAGTTGTCTTATCAAGAATAGAGAATATGAAAAAATTATTGTTTGTTATACCTTTATCAGCCCTAGAGAACAAAACTTTAAGAACTGACTGATAGTGGTAGTTTTGCTTCTTTGAGGGTATGGACACGAGTAGAATGTGGCATGACGGTGAGCGTGGTTCCAGAATGCGGCTGTGAATCTTATAATCACTTAGGATCCCCCTTAAAAACCGATCTCAGCTCAAGTACATGATACAAAGATGAAATTTTCAAGGTTTGTTGGCACTGACATCAGGATGCTGTGGTAAAATTTTCCACCCGATACCCTGACGTTTGACAGAGATATGAACCAAACAAGGATCAAAAATTGCTCATGTTGTCCGCAAGATTTCTCTGTGGTGCTTCATCCAATATATAGATATTTTTTTTATTTGAAAGAGCCTCTCAAGGTGCAGGTCCTGTGATACACCTTTTTTTTAAAACTCTTATCTAACAAGCAGAGAAAAGGGTTGACAAGTTAATTCACTCGAAAAACTCTCAAAAACTCTCAAAAAATGCCGCTCTAATTATACAAATGCTTTTCAATATAATAATAGCCAACCTTCATTCAAAAAAACCGAGCCTCACAGGACCTGCAGTTTTTGACGCTCTTTCAAAAAAAATACTTGACTTTATATAGTACTGTGGTCGGGTTTTCTTGCAAATACGTTGTCAAACCTACATTCTGAGAAAAACGTGAAACAAAGTATTGAAATGTCAGGTATGGGGGTGGGTGTGGGTGTGGGTTTGTATGTAGCTGAAAAGAAAAGGGACGCACACCCCACACCCACACCCACACCCACACCCATCCACACCCCACCCACACCCATTTCGCATTAACCATTATTAAATATAGTATGTGACCAGGTCTTGTGCTCTTGGCAGTACTAGGAAAATGTCATCGTCAATAGTGTTATCGTCTACTACGCGAATAATGATATTTTTAAAACGTGGTGCTTTTATTCCGTCTGGAACTCACTGTTGCTCGGATCATATAGTTGGAAAAAAAGAATGCCTTTGAATCTTTCGGTCAGATTTATGTTTCTCAAGCCGATCATTGAAAGCTCGATTCAGCTGGATTTCAAGAGCTGCTCACAGATATATGTTTATTGTTACATTGCCCAAAAAGCTTTGATTTTGATAATCCGACATCATTGGACGAAGAAGCCTACAAAGAGATTGCTGGTCTAGCAAATGGTATTCCGTTCGTGAAGTCAGAAAGTGCTGAAAAGTGATTTTGAATGTTCAGGTTTTGAGATAATGGTTTGACGTTTCAAACTTGAAGATTCTTGAAACAGCACATTCGAGTTTTAAATTAAAATTTTAGCTTTCATGAAAAAAATTGCAATCGATCGCTGATCTAGTTCATATTGTGTGGAATAGTTTTAGATATTCACAGATTTTAGAAGAAAAAATTTGAGTTGATATGGATTTGTTGATAAAAAATGACATTGAAAATTAGTTTCTGAATGGAAAATGGAAAATAAAATCAAAATATGTTATCTTCCTGTTTCATTTCTTAGATTAAATTCTGATAGTTTCGTCTTACTGTCTAGCTGAGTTGTCAGATTTCAAAAAATCGAATACGGTTGTGAGTGCTTCTCAATGATTTCTAACTTCATTTTCTAAAAGTTCAACCTATATGTTTGATTTAATAGTTCTTTTAGAGAACAATTCAATAATCTCGTTGGAGCAATATCATCGACGAGAAACTCTTAAACTCGATCTATCCGTGTCGCCATGGCTTTATTTCTTGCAAAGATACGCCTATCATTGAGCAATCGAGTTTTGGCAATCCTATTGGATTTCAAAAGTAAACGCGTCGTCTCTTATATTATCAGCCCAGTTCGTACTGCGTTGATGAAAGATTTTGTTCCCACTCATTTTGGACTTCATCATATTGATCGCGCAATCGCCATTAAACAACATCAAACTGCGTTTGATACAATACTTCATACCACAAAAACTCAAGAGCTTGTGTGGTGACAGACTCGACGTATCTTTTCATACAAAAGCCGAGTGACAATAAGTTTTAGAGACGAACTTATTCGATGCATAAGCAGTGTCATTGGATGAAACCGAAAATCCTAACGACTACAGTGAGTTATTAGTCTGTCGTTGGAATGATAATTTAAAAATAGTTCCCCATTACTTTCTTTTAAGCTCGTGCAACATAAACTTATAATATTTGTTTTTCAGAACGGTTATATTCTATGTGTGCTTGGTCTCTTCCTATCTGATCACAGAAATAACGATGCCTCAATACTGAAAGACTGTCTATAACAGCGAACAAGAAAGACCAGGATTTTCGAGATGCAATTCGAGCGATGAAACAATTTGGTTTTAACGTAGCAATGCCTCCTTTTCTGAACGGAAGAAGACAGGTTTCACTCGATGATGCTAATTGCAACTGCTGCATTACTAAAATTCGATGGATCATCGAAAATGGTAAGGCTCATGCCAAAAATTAAATCAAAAGTGTCTTTTTATTTAGTGAACGGACAACTAAAGCAATGGAGATATTTTCATCAAACAATCCAAAATTCTTCCCTGCATTTCATTAGCATCTACGTCGTCATTACTTGTGCGCTCATCAATGCACATGATTCACGGTACGTCAAAGATATACATTCTGGTGCTGTCATGGCTCATCACATATTAGATAAGTGTCAAAAAACTAATCGTGTTCAGTTGAGTCTCGCTAAGCTAACTCAAGAAAAAATGCAGTGGAAGAAATGCGATCCGCAACTGATTCTCTTTCCCGAGCTATCCAAAGATTGTCTTGGACTTCATTAACAAGCACCGCGATGTTTTTTAGGAAGTTATCAAATCAAGCCAGCGAAATCTTATTCTCGGGAACACCTCAAGCAATCATCTGTAACAGATGAGAAACTTGAATTTATCATAGAACTTTGCGATCAGCACAATGATCTGGTATGCGCTCGTTTTATGTCTCGTCATTCTAACAAAAAAAACTATACTGCTGCCATACAATGTCGTATTGGCATAGACCAGCCAATAACTGACTGGGATTGTACGAGCACACCAGGGTGACAAGATATCGAATGTTGTGTTCACGTCGCGGCGATACTATGGCACTTAGGTGTCTGTCGAGCACAAGCTAAACCAAACATCCATCCTCTTTCAGCTGCTCATCTTTGAGTGCGACCGATGAATGCGTGCAGTTTTTGAGATGTGGACTCAAGTGGCAACGAGGGCGATGATAGTAATCTTCAAAGCAATGACACTGCTACTGATAATGATAATGATATTAGCATAGATAATGATAATGCCGTTGATTGAACTCTTTCCCTTTCTAATGTTTTCTATTTCATACATATCCATCGCAATTCGTTTGCATAACTATTGATAGCTTCAAACGACTGATTAAAGAAGAAGAAATTATAGTAGTGATATCGATAATCGATTATGTTATCAGGAGGCATGTACACTAGTGTCAACATATATCAATAGACAAATATCAAACGCTAAAATATCAATATATATTCATGTAAAATATTGGAATAGGCATCATAGTTACCCAAGAGCAGCTATGAATGATGTCTGAGAGTCAATCACTCATAATTTTATTGATCACCTATCATTTAGGCTCGACAAAACACTTAGAAGTGATTTCTGACGAGTTTATTATAAGATACCGTTGATTTATTTCATGAGACTAAGTTTTTTACGATAGAACGTAATAACATTGTTGTACTTTTCGAAAATACCTATCTATTGGTTAAGACGAGAAAAATGTTCATTCCAATTTCGAAGACAAAATCTTTTACTAAGAATAGAAAAAAATGAAATTTTAGCAAAAAAGGGTGTGGGTGTAGCTGTGGGTGAGTGTGAATGTTGATCTTCTAACATCCAGATACACACTCACACCCGCGCCCCAAAAAATGATGATACTGTTGAGCTGACAACTCCAGTATACATTAATCGATCAAGATCAGGTTTCTCCCTGAGATTAGAGTTCACTATGTTCTATCAATGGTAAAAATATGAGGCCGAGTGCTTGAAGTTTAAATAGTTTTAATCTGGCAGCGGTCCTTTTTGCGACGCTGTATGCGGAATAGACTGATTTCGATTATTTACTTACTACAGATATATTTAATAACTTGCGATCGACAACTTTGATCTGGTGTTGAATTCGGCTCGAGTGATTACGAATAGTTATACTCGATTTTAATGAATTATCATCTTCTACTTGTTCCAATTTAAATTTTGGTAAGTATTGTTCAAGTTTTTCTTTCATAATTTCAGCTGCTTCAGATTTTTTAATAAACGATACACAAAACTCTAAAAAGAAAACAAATAATGAGAAGATTTAAAGAAGTGTCATCATCAGATATAATCTAGAGCCTATATTTATGTATCAACAACTATATTAGGCAAGAACGATTCATAAATTTCGGATAATTTTATCTCATTTTCCAGTCTTCGTCCGTTAAGTTTAACTCTATATTGCTTGGTAATTATCTACAGTCAAGCTATCAGGGAAAAAGTAAAGAAAATCAAATTCGAAATAAATGACGCGGTTTAATTTATTTAACTTATATTCTAAAATAGACTTCTGCATTAAGCAAGTTCATTGAAACTACACTGAAAAAAAGGTTCCATACGGAACTTAAAAAAGGTTTTGAGATTTTCAACGAAATCGAAACCTTTTCTGAGTTTCGTAAAAATATGGTTCCGTACAAAACCGTTTTCAATTCACACTCAAAATGGTTTCGTAGTTGAAATTTCATCACGGTTCCAATCTCTCACAATTGGGACCGATAAACCTATTCGTTTCGCTGTTCATGTATTCTATTTTATGCAGCGCCTTATGTGTAGTCTCTGGCAGATTCATACAATCGATATCTATCTTATTTACTTATCTGTTTAATACATATCTATCCCATAACTTATCTCCTTAACCTTTATCTATCCCCCTACCTTAATCCCTAACTGAACCCCTTAACCTTAATTTATCCCCTACCTTAACCCTTAACCTTAATCTATCCCTCTAACTTAACCCTTAACCTTAGTCTACCCATTATTTATATCTATTTTCTAATTTACCATTTGGATGATATCGATAACAACCTAAAACAAAAGACAATGGATAAATAAATTTGTTATTATTGAATTGTAACTCATCATTTTGATCATATTCATCAGAACCTAAAACAAAAGACAATGAATAAATAAGCTTGTTATGATTGAATTTTAACCTACCGTTTGGATCATATCGAATTGTATTTGAAATCGAGAACAGTTCAAGAACGTAAAGATGACAGAACGTTATTTGAATCGAATTAAAATGGTTTCAGATTGGGAAAGCAAAATGGTTCATAGAAGAGAAGATTCTTGATCAAATCGGTTATACTTAATATTGTGAGCAGTTTCAGTTCAATAAATAAATCTGAAGCTGGGCAATGGTGAGGATGTAAAAGAAAAATTGGAGTACTGAAATGTTCTTTTGAGAGGTTTGAGAACTGTGATCTTTTTCATTCTCCAAAAAATTCTGAAAGCATTAAATGCTTTAGAAACCTTTTGTTGTATCAGATAAAAATTCAGGGTCGGTCTTCGGCTCGTTATCGTACGCTTTCGAGATTGAGTATACTCGGAAACTCTTTGATTTGCTTGAGCAACATTTCAGAAGCCGAAGGGGCATTCCCGCATACCTCTTAAGACTTAGACTTAATTTTTTGACGATATAAGTTTACAAATTACGCTGACGGTTTCTGAAAATACGATTAGGTTTCCAATATCAAGAAAAAGGGATTCCAAAATACTTTGAGAGTGTTGAAATCGGTGTTTTAGAGAACCTAATTCTTTACGAACCCTCGACAACCAGTAAGATATTTTCAGGAGCGTTGGTAGCGTCCGGAAACCATCTCTCAAATCTCTAAAGGTTTCCGAATGCATTTCAGAGTGCTTTTGGTTTTCTAGGAAACGAATTGTTCTTAGATAGCAGTTAATGTGCCCCCCCCCCTAATGTAAATCTAACCTCCTAACGGATCCCATCAACCTTAATCTGACCCCATAACTAATCCCCTTATGGATATCTATATCCCTAACTTACCACCTGAGTCCTAATCCACTCCCAAAATATTCCCATATCTTTGTTTAACCCCTTCACTTAAGCGAATGCACTTGGGCTCATCAACAGAGAACGAATGCGATTAATTTTTATTGCGATTAGAAATTGCAATACAGAAATCTTTTTTGATAATCTTAAGTACTTCGCCCATTTCGATTTGTTTTGACTACTGCATATTGAAAATATTTTACTCAATACAGAGTATGATTAGCAGTGAATCAATTAGTGATTGATTTCCACTCCACTCGATCAGAAACGAAGTTCGGGCCTGTATATCTACTTTAATGCTCATGTTTTGAAATGAAGTTTCAAGAGTATTTTACGAAACCTTTTCGATTTTTGATGCCCTAAAAGGTTTATCATGAAACCTTTTGAATACTAAACCTTGAACAGGTTTTTTACGAAACTCTACATGATACTAAACTCTTTTGAGGTTTCGTCTGTGCGAACGAAACCTTTTCAAGTATGGTAAAGTACCACGAAACCCTAAAAGTTCTGTATGGAACCTTTTTTTTTCAGTGTTGGCAAACTTTTCTCTGCTATTCAAGTCGTTTGTTGTCACCTCATCAGGTAACTTTAAAATCTTTGAAATAAGAGTTTTATTTAATTACTTTACATAGCAATGTTTTTTTTTCGCTTGTGCTTCATTTCATCGAACTTTTTTTTTCATTTTTCGAAAATCAGGCTGATGCAAGAAAAGCGGCGGTGCGATCATACGAGTTTAGCATTTCAGGTAATTTAGAGTGACATTCGGGTGTGTGGATCTAGTTGTCCGTCTTAGTAAAATATTCATCACACTCATACACTTATATCTGTTGCAGTTGAGTTTGGAATCTAGTTGGGATTGGAATCACTTAGCTCCCTTTGTTTGTTTAAAAATTTTTCTAACACAAAATTTAAGAAAACGTGTTTGTTTCTTATCAAATTTATATTTACTATTACTTCTTGGACAATAAAAAATATTCTCGTATTGGTACTTTGTTCATGAAAAACTATTAGTCATTCTATTTATTCTTTTCTTGTAAAAGTAAATCTTACTCATCATTTTTCTTATAGTGTAGTGTCTATATCGGTACTCTGGACATGAGGACATTGAACAATTCGTTGAAACGAAATTGAGAGCATTTGAGCTATTTGTTTCTCTAAAATAGATTTTTTTTCGACGCTCGGGACATGGGGACATTGAATCATTGGTTGAAACGAAATTGAGAGTATTTGAGCTATTTTGTTTTTATAAAATAGTTTGTTTTTCGATGCTCGTGATATATGGGGATCAAATGATTGATTAAATGTTTAGTGTTAGCAAATTCATTGTTAAAAAACTTGAATTTGAATGATTTATGCTACTTAGAATAGCAGCCGATTCTTTTTCCGATTGATTGACTAATAATTGGACTACAAATGGATTGTTGATTATCTATTCGATAGACTTATTGTGAGAAAGTTTATCAATGTAAGATTGTAGTTTAAAATTGGCAGTGCTCGGTTTTTTGTGAGAGATTAGTATGAAAAAAAATATATAATTTATTTAATTGAAAATAAACAGACATAGAATGTGTTTTTTGATTGGATGTTCCATAGCAACGAACATCAATCAATTAATTATAAGGAGATGAATAAAATTCATAAAATTCTAATAGTCACTTAATAAGAATGGTTAAAAATTAAAATTTTCTATATGTAAATATTTTGTAAGAATTCAAAATAAATCACAGAAGCTCGACCAATCATTTAGAATCACTAAAATTACAAAAGTTGGATGCAATAGTAAACAAACATTAATTATCGTGTGACTCATACTATTCACATGCATTTCAAACTCAACTGAATTCCCATGTCAACTGTGACATATCCATACAGAGACACACACCATTGGTAGAAAGAAAAAAATGTACAATGTTACTATGTTACACAAGCAACAACAAAGTGACTCAATAAATAGGCTATTCAGCTGACGTTGACAATATTCAAATAAACTGAAAATATTGTTTTCGATTGATCACGCGTGTGTATGCATAGTTTTGATTATATCTTTTTATTGAATAATTTCCTAGAATGATTGATAAACGTAAGACGATTATACAGCTGTGAATCAGAATAAGGAGGGTATGGATGGTCATGTAAACTTGCACATAATAAGGCATACATTCCATTTGTTTTTGAATATCAGTTGTTTTAATCAATTAATTTCCACAGTAGCGAAATCAATATTGATTGTTGAAATGACTTCAATATTTTCTTTCTCTGAATGATGAGTATGATGATGAATTATTTTAGTTAATTTACTGTGCAAATCTGTATGTACTTCAACGAAACATGCATTAAGTATACAACTTGTCTAGCTAAAAATGGCCCTGGTTGAGGGTCAGAGTGTGGGTGGATTTTGATGTGGGTGTGATTAGAGTTGAGATTCCGAAACCCACACCCACGTGCGCATCTTTCTTTAACAGCTGGACGAGTCGTACTTATTATTTTTGTAATATTCTTCTCCTCCTGCAGGATACAAAATTTTCTATATGAAATGATTCCCCGTGACAGGACAGAAGGTGAGAAATGTTTTGTGAACATTTCTCATTTGAATATTTTTTAATAGATTTACTGATTAATATGTTTCTGCATTGATTTGTTATTCTTCACAAAGGTTTCTGCTTTTTAATTTGTAAGGCCAAAATCAAAGAAAAACAATACCCAAGCTTATTTGATTGGCTTGACGAATAGAAATATTTAAAAACAAATGCTTTATTAAGAGAAAAACAAGAAATCAGATAAGAATACTGCTGATTTGGATTTTTCTTAAATACTTGGAAATTTTCAGATACAAAAACCCAACTGAAAATACGTATATAAACTCCGAGAAGCTCATTGTCCAAATATAAATTTTGATTAAAAAGTGAAAATAAGTTTAATCAAACTAATTGAAGTTGAACTGTTCACAATTCTATTAAAGCATTGCGATCAAATTCAATTTCAAGCTAAATATTCTCTCATAATAATTGGATACTTATCAATTCATTTTTTACCTAGTAAGGCAATGTTTGAATTTTTTTAAAGTCATCAATCTATGTCGTAAAATAAAAATCTGAATTAAGTTTAATTTCCAATTCTTTTTTTAAAACATTTTAAATAAACATGTCTTATTCAACATACTTTTATTTTCCAACAAAAACTTCATCCTGTAGAAGTACAATCCTAATCACGAATCTTTTCAAAATTTTTCAGTTTTTTTGCATTATCATTTCAGTTTCGTTCATAAATATTATATAAGAAGATCATACAATTTTAAAATAAAAAAAAACAATAATCACTCTGCAAAGTTTTGTCTGACAATAATTGTAAAATTTTGTTTATCAAATTTTTAATTTTATCCAATGAGTAATATCTGCGTGAGATTTCAATTTTAATCTAAACTTGATTTCTCTTTATTCGAACTGTATACTTGAAATTGAAACGAAAGAAAAATATTCTGAAATCAATGTCGCACCGGCAATCGAATTTTGTTTAAAAATAGCTTTCTCCAATTCTTATTCAATATTTTCATACGAACAAAAAAGTAAATGAAATCAAACATGTGTTTCTTTTTTTTCCATCGTGACAGTTTTTACAATGGCAATTAGTTGCAGATATTGAATTGAGTACATATACAGACTCAAGAAATGTTTACGTTAGTTCCTCTCCAATATATATATTTCATATTGAAATCACATCAATTGATGAATTTATAATTTCATCAACCAATGTAACGTAAATGAAACAACACAATAAGAGGATGATAGCGACATATCATCAATGATTATGTGTTCTACAATTATGAAATAAAAGCAAACGACAGAAGATGAAAGAGTAAATGAAAATTTCAACGATACATCTATTCGTAAGTTGTTAATAGATAAATAGGAAAGTTCTTATGTTTTTACTCAACTTTTGATATTCTTATTCTTTGAATACATTATTAATTAGTTTTCTGTATTTTCATTCCTTTTCAAGACTGAAAAAGATAAATTCACATAGAATCTATTCAACAGAGAAAGTTGAAAGTTTTCAAGTATTTAATTTTCATTTGAGATATTCTTCATCATTTATATATAAACAGTTAAAAAATGGCTATGAATGCAAAGCGTGAATTAATTCGTCAATCTCTTATAATTCATGATGTTGATGCGTCAATTGAAGAGATAGATATCGAAGAAGCTATTCGACATATAATCGGCACGATTTCACTCGAAATTTTTTTTGGTAAATCTTACAGTAAGTTATTAAATAATTTTACGTATTTATTTAATTTACCGAAATCAAAATTATTGAACAGATACCAAGAATATACAACAAAGAAAAGTTTATTTAAATCACTTAAATGAACACAAATTGAATGAATTAATGAAGACTGGTTCAATTGAAGTTCGTAATAAACGTTTTTGTATGTCACGATATAATCCAAAAGATATTCCATTATCCGGTCAAATGACTCAATTTTTACTAATTAGAATATCTGAAAAGCATAAAGATAAGAAAACTTTAAAAGATCTTGCTCAATCTGATATTGAGGAATATTTTGGAAGATTTGGTAAAATACTTAACTTTCAATGGAATAATGATTTTGAAGCAAATCTTAAATTTCAACAGTAGTATTCCTTGATTTCACATTTTATATTTTTAATCATATTCAAATGATTTCTCTTTTCAGTTACGATATCGTTGATCAAATTATTCTAAATGATGCTCGACATGAAATCAATGGAATCAAAATTGATGTTGAAAAAACTCAACACACTCAAATGAGTAGGTTTTCGAAAGACTCATATTTTGTTAGAAACAATAAGCAATGTTGACGAAGGTTTGACAAACTTAAATTTAGACTATCTGATTCAGGGATGAATGCGTGAAGTCATCTATCGCAAGTCAAGTCAAAATATTTTTTCTATTTTGCTCATGTTTATAATGAGCGTTGCCAAGAATTTTTTATACATAACAATCAGAGAAGCATAAATCTGAAACAAATAGTCCCACCAATCAGCTTTAATAAAACACTAAAATTAACTTTCCTGATCAAACTACTTTAAAAACGAAAATGGTCCCATTTAAATATCAGATTAGTCCAACGAAAATCTTTTCTTTTATTTATTTAAGGTAATATGGCTGGTACTGTTAAAACTCAGTTTTGCATTCATGTAACTAATATACCTCTTGATGTGACAAGTGAAGAATTGTCGCAAATATTCAATATTCACATTGCTGATATTGTTATCAAACCAGGATATCTACCTAATGAACATTTAACATCAAATGATCAAATAGATAGTGAGGCTTGGATTAAAAATATTGGTAGCGAAAAACTAACACGAGATTTAGCTATTAAAAATTCAAAAATAAAATTACGCGGACTTCCAATCAAATGTGATGTTATTCATGAACCAATCCATACGTTTGAATTGTGTAGAAATTTTAAAAATGGTCTATGTAAATATTACCACAAATGTCAATTTAAACATATTATGTGTAATCAACCAGAGAATTGTCTCGATGAACAATGTCATTATGGACATAGTAAAAAACGACTAGTAACATTAAATGATAAAGAGGACGACGAAAGTCAGTTTATTGAAAAAAAAAAGTATCTATGGTGCATTTCTTTTGTTTGTTATATAGATTGTGAAAAGAATTTTTATCGTCTAAGAATAAGTAATCTTCCAACAACAGCAAACAAAGAAAAATTAGCGAAACTATTAAGCATAAAGGACGAACATATTTCACGTATAATATTTAAAGAAGATCGAGTTGAAAATTCATCATCAGTTGTTGCATACCTTATTCATCAGCGATCGGCAAAATATCTTCGATGTCTAATTCATCAATGGCATGATAAATGTTATTCAGATGATCTACCAAATAAAATGAAATGTCAAGTCGAGATCAACGCAGATTTTTATAATTGGGATAATAAATGTAATCCAAATGAATATTTTTCAACCACTAATTATAAGCAACCAAAAAAATCGAAATCTTTACCATGATGTAGACTGGAGACTGAGCAGTTAGAGGATAATTTCTCAGAAGAAATCTCCGATGTGGAAGTATCAAGTGAGATACATTTAAAAAGTAAGATAAAACAAGTCTGTGGGTTTTTCGATTTCAAACTGAGTTTCCAGCTAAAAACAGCCTGCACTTATCCGGCCGAAGGGAAACTACGAACACTAAAAAAGCACACCTCATTCAAGAGAATGACCAAGACCATCCATATCTCTTAAAAACAACGCAACTCCACTGTGGCACCAAAGCCCACCTTCGGAACTCCCATAAAACCGACATAGAAAGCATACTGTATGACCACAGCACAAGCATATCCAAACCCCCACATATCCATCTTATTACTTAAATCTTTTCCAAGTCATCTTGCACTTCTAACTCAATCACATATATATATAGCAATCCTCTGTCATAAAATTACATTTTCTTCAAGGGGAGGCAGTACTACGGAGATTTCAGTGATTTGTGCATACTAAGGCTATACGTAAAGGTATATACGAAATTTTTTTGGTGGGACGTGGGACTGGGGGGGGGGGGAACTTTATGGACTTATGCAAGTATGGGTATATTCCTCTATTTTTGGGGGGACCGGGGACTAGAAGAGCTTGGAGAACTTAGGAATTCGGTGCCCATGGAAGGCACAGAAATTGTAAGTTCTTCAAGTCCCCCTAGTCCTCCCTCCCCCTTCCCAAAAAAATAGGGCCATATATCCATACATATACCCATAGTACAGTATGTTCAATTTATTGTGAAACAATTTGGATGCATTTTTTTCATTATTAACTGAACCAGCTCTCATTGTTCTCATTTCGTTTCACTTACCTAATACTGAAGTTGCTTTCATGATATTTATAATTTAGATAAACGCATGCCTCGTAATAAGATACCAGAAGGTATGAAAGGGATGGTCAAATATTTTTTGACAAAAAATTATTCATATTCTGCTATACAAGAAGAATTAGCGGAGATGAATTTTAATATATCAAGAAGTACGATTAGTCGCATTGCTAACAAGGTTGGAAAGCAGCGTGAATTAGCTTTATTAAATAATCAAAAACCAAAATTTTATCGTCGGCGTCATTTAGCAACACCTGATATTATCCGTCGTATTACATTATGTATAAGTAGAGAAAATCCTCCGACAACTCGATTAATGGCTGCAAGATGCAATGTTAGTGTTGGAACTGTTATGAATGTTATTCGTGATGTTATTCATGCAAAATGTCTTAAAAAAAGACCAGTACACCAGTTAAATCCAGCTGTTATTGAGAAGAGAAAAAGGAGAGCTTGGCGTATGTATCTTCGATTAGTCAATGAAAAACTTACGAGTGCGACCCCTTGTGGAGCCAACATGTAAAATTCACAGATTCCGACCACTATAAATTTATGATGTGATGCGACACATGTCAAAATAAGCTATTAAAAACATATCAAATAAATGAATAGATCAAAACCATAAGGATTTTTATAGTTTATACGCGCGCTCTAAGGGTGTGGGTCTGGGTGTGGATGCGGGTACATGTGAGTGTGAGGTGGGTGCAAATCAGGTGTTCATCGACACGCAAACCCACACCCACACCCCACGCCCACAGTGACGCAAAGTGGTGAAAAGATCAAAAGGGAAAATGAACACATAGCAACATAAAAACTAATATAAACACTTGTTATGCATAAGTAGGTCGGTGTTGATTAGCATGTTCGTGTCTATTTGTTTTAGGAGCGAGACCCAGCTAGAGAGATACACTATAGTTCGAAATATAAAAATGACTAATTACTGCAAAGTCTAAGTACATTCTAAGAAATACAAGAGCAATCTTTTGACATTAAACCAATTATGGAAAAAATACCTGGTTCTAAATTGTACTCATGTTAAAGGAATATAGCGGGCAATATATGTTCCCCATCAAGATTATTGTATTCAGAAAATGAGGCCCGCGAAACAAAATCATCACACAAGAAATAAACACAAGAACAATTCGAAAAAAAGTGTCATTTTCATTTTCAAATTCTAGCATCGTCAACATAATGCTCATCATCTTCACACATTCTCCATCTTAGGGGTGGTAAAAACATTTTTCATAACAAGATGAATTTTTGTCTCCAAAATGATGGTGAACTAAAATTAAGAAAGAAATTGCAATTAATTGGATTCCTACTAATATGTGTTCTTCTCATGTACATGCACGCATGTGAAATTAACTTACTATCGCGAGGATCAGTTTTTGAGCAAAGCCAGCAGAAAGAAATTCCACATTTACATTTGACTGCATTGCATCCTTCGTATCGATCAATTACTTGTTTACATGAAGGGCACGGTTTAAGTTCCAAATTTCCTTTGAATCCAACATAAAAAGTAGTCGAAAACGTTTCATTGTAGAGGATGCACACTTACCTATATTTATCATTCTATCTCTTTTGTCTTTTTCCTCTTTTACATATTTTTGATATTGCTCACACGTTACGCCCATATGAAACTCCACTTCACATCTAGTACAATAAGTCTTGAGACATGTATCACAGACGTATGATTGTGGCTGTCTCGACTTACGGTAAACCTAAATAAAACAAAATAAAACGAAGTCAAATTTCATTCAAAATTTTAAGCATTTCTCGTCCTCAAGATAGATAGCAGCTCTTCCGATGAATAATGCTACTGAGGTGCTAATAGGATTTGAAAAATATTCAAGAGCGTGATACTCTATTGATAGATCCTTTATCGACAATGAACTAAATTCCAGTAGATTTTATTTTATTTTTCATGTCTAATCCATATCACTAATTTTCATGGGCAGAAAACGAAAAGATTTTCCACTTTTTTGCCGATTATTTTAGCCACTTTCACGTCTAAACAATACCGGTAGCCATATTCATAAGAAAATTATCATCTTACTTGTTGACAATCAATACCGATACATTGAACTATATCGTTATCTGTCTTGAGGAAAGCTTGAAATGATGCACGTGCTACCCTAGACATATTTTGTGAATCAATTATTGTTTTGATGTCTCGTAGTGAAAGTACTGAATTGCATTCTTGCATTATACATTTAATCTTAAGGCTTTCATTGCTGAGTGTTGTATCAAACTTTCTTGATAATTCTTGTTTAAGGCAATTTAAACACGAGACATGTCCGCACATTTCTAAAATATAATTGGCGACCTCGCAACAAATTGGACATTCATTACTAGTCGTAGTTGCATTTTCTTTAGGTAATAATTGCTGTTCTGCAAGCGTATCAGACCAGTTCTTCTTAATTGCTTCTTCAGCCTTTGTGATGTCCTGTTGTTTACCAATAATTAGTATTTGACGTTTAACATCTGATATAATTATTTTAACATGAAACTCCTTTCCAATCGTATCTTGATAAGTTGTACCCAATTTTAGTACTTGTCGTAAATAACCTGTAATTATAATTAAAAAAATGGACTCATTATAAATACTAGAAGGAACATCCTAATAATTTCGGCAGTTAATTACCTTTGGGAATGTCTAATGTGATTGTAAAATTTCTATTGTTTAAAACATTCTCTATATATTCATCTAAACTTTTTGCAGCTATATCGGGCGCTTGATTATCACCGTAAATTCGTACAAATGAATTTGAATAACTAAACCATATATAAGTACCAGTTTCATCTTGAATTTTTTGTAATGCTGTCGTACTACCACGATCAAAAATAAGTCTTGTCTATAAGAGATTAGCAAAATTAGTTATTTTTAAGAAACCTAGGCGACCCAAAAAGAAAAACTAAGATGTGATAGTCTCTAACGAATTAATCATTGTTTTCAACAAACTTAGGGAGCTATAACTGATCGACTATGCTGATTTCGAGTATGAGTATGAGAACAATAGCTAGAACTTTAGAGACCTGCTTCTTGAAAACGAGTTGTTCATAGCCAGAAAAAGTTTTCATTTTGGAATTATTAATGAGTCTAGAAAAAGTAACTATTGCTGTTATATATTCGTTAGAAGATCTTTTTGAATGTTTCCGTAACGATTTTCGAGCGAAAAAACAATGATCTTTTATAGTCTACTCGTGTTTTTCGACGATCCTAACAGATTAAAAAGGAGAAAAGGACAACAACTTTCGACAATAGCATCTGCAAAGTGTTAGGTAACGATGTCTTGCTACTACTCTGACTCAACAAAATCAAATTAACTAGAAGTTATTGAATTCTCTAAAGCAAATAGTTGGACAACGAGAAACTTTTCCTTGTAAAACTTACTTTCTCTGTATCGACTTTGTATCTATATTCCATTCCTTTCATCAATGTATCAAATGCAATTTTAGCCATTGTGATCTGTTGTATATCGTCACCTTCGATACATATCTTCATTGCAGCTGTCTTATCTTCCTTCCCCAGAGATGCAACTTTGACATGAATCCTCTTACATTTCTCACGAACATATTGAATAGCTTCTTGAATCTTATTAGGAATAGCTTTTCTTAAAGCTGCATTAATAAATATTTGGTGTGCAATTGGAGGCAGAAGACGTAGTTTACTTGAATCTTTAAGTAGTTGAATTACTTGGTTATCATAGGTTTGTATGGCTGTTGTTATATCCATAGGATCATTGAAAAGGATCAATGCTGTGACAGTTCCATCTGGTGCGCATGATGATATCCGATAATCAGGTATTGATCGAAATAAACCTGCTGTACTAAGAAACATAGAACGAAGATTCACTAATGCAACTTCTACGTCAGAGTCAACTTTGTTGGTCACCGCTGTTGCCGAATTTTCATTCTTGAATTTTTGACGATAAACTATCACATTTTTTACATCATCATACAATTGATTTTCTTTTAGAATTTTAATAAGATCATATTTATCAAATGACAGATCAAGATGTTGAAAATGAAGAATATATTCATCTTCTTTCTTCGTCTTAACTTCGTCATTCCTTTTTTGACCTGGTTCCGATAACCTTACTTTACCACGACCGATAATACCTTTTTTTCCATTCATTTCTTCAACTGCTTGTTTTAATTCTGTTGATTCTAAAAACTCAACAAAAGCTTCCACTTTACCATTCCAAATTTTTGGGTTAATCGATATTGTATCTCGTTGAAATGATTTATAAGGATTGAACATTGCTTTAATATCATCTTCTGCCGAAGCAGGTCTTACAAATATTTGCCCTTTTCTTCCACGTAAAACCTGCACGCCAACGAAACCTGTGCAATCTTGAAAACGACTGCGTATATCTTCTTCATCGTCGTCTTTTGAAAAGCCTTCTAATAGCAGCGATATTCCATGATTTTGTCTATTTTGTACAATTTTAAACGTCTCTGGAGGATGTATTCGGCAACGAACATTTAGTGCATCTTCGAATGATTGAAAATTTACGAAAGCTTTTTGATTACTTTTAAGAAGATAATAAGTAACTTTTAGTCTTGGTAGATTAGTCAAATGCTCATAACGACATTGATAACGCAATCTTTTAAATAGTTCATAAGCATCGCGTGCACTTTTTTCTTTTTCAAAAATAATCCTTCCATTACCAGTGGACTGTGTCAGATACCATATAGCTTTCAGACGACAATTTTGGCTATCTATAGTTGCTTCATTTTTCACACATGAATCAGTTACGACTATTTCACGACCTTGTTCAATATAACCATTCAATTCACAGAAAGCAGAACGTGCTTGCTCCACTTTTGCATACGTGACTGCAACACACGAATTGTGTTCGCCTTGTCGAATAAAATCAATTTTACGAACTAAAATAATTTGAGTACGAGCAAAAAATGTACGTAATTCAGATGCTACAATTCAGTTCTTGATCATTTCAACTTGAAAACAGATTTCTGAAGTTCCGCTACGTCAAATATAGAAAATCTTATTTATTATCTGCATTATTTTCAAATTATTTTTTAGCGAAAAAATTTGAATAACCATCCCTTCTTTTCCCCGTACCATAAACTACTTATGCTAGAATAGTTGTCGATTATTATGTTTTTAGAGTGTTGTTGAGTAAATTTTGTTGTCTCAGGCAAAAAATACTATTTGTTGCATAACTTGCAGTGTCTTTATTTACTATCATAATTAAGAGAAAGCATATTCTTCCATAAGAAAAAAGTTGTTGGAACAATGTTTGTCGGATCAACACGTGGGATGCTTACGATATTACTGCTGTTACTTAATCACAGAAATTAATTTATTCTGTCTACATTGGAGTGGGTTTCTTCACAATATTTTTATCGAATGCTGCAGAAATATGACATAGAAGCAGTTCAAATACTGCAGTGACATATTATTCATATAGTATTAGTCCATGTATACTTGCTTTTTCTATGATCGGCTAACGTTTCTCTAGTATTTGTTATGAGGTATAGGGGGAGGACCCAAGACTAAATAAATGGTAGAATAATGTGAAGAAGAAATTTAAGCAATTGAATGTTTCTCTGTCTCCTATGCAATATAGAAAGTAATGCTTACAAAAAAAATCTATCATAACTTTGGTCGAAATTGAAAGGTAGATTAAAATGAATACTTACTCTCTCCAAATGGTTCACACAAAGTTTGAATTCTTTCTTCTGTTATTGTTGACGGTAGCTTTGCTATGATGATTCTAACATACTCACCTGCGAATAAAATCATTTGACTAACACCCCCGGCACCCATTAAAATTCGAGTTCTTCCTACAATTTTCATTTCTTCAGTTTCTAACAGTAATTTTTGTTTTTCCTTCTGAATAATTTCTTGAACAATTATCTTTGCTTTATTTAAATTAGCTGGACGTGAACATATTGTTAATTTTGATTTTTTATAATTAATATCAACAATGGCTTGAGTGATGTCTTCAAGTTTATTCAAATGACAAGCATGTCTGCCGTCGATCGCTCGCAATAAGGCTGCTCCTACATTTTTGAATGTAAAACATTCATAAGAAATCGTGTGTAAATTAGTTCCGTTTACAGCTTTATACCAATCTTCTGAAACAGATTTTAAGCAATTGAGATCAATTGAAGATAATACTGTGAGATAATTAGTTCCGTGGCGACTTAATAATTCATTAAATAAAACGTACTTAGGGATTTGATCATTTAACGACAAAGTCGATGTATGAAATGTACGTGCTATTACTGATTCATTAGTCGTTTGGGAGCATGCAGAAATAACTTGATAGCCAGGTCTCAATGGCCCATTTGACACAGCTAAATTCATAAAATGACCAGCTGCTATACATTTTAAAAGACGATTAATTACATTGTCATTTAAATCTTCACTATCAAGAATTTCTATTTCATAGTCCATTTGTTTGGCTTTTTCGGTAATAAATTCGTGAGCCATTTGTAATGATTTTCCATTAATAGAGTTATTTTTGCACCATTCATATTGTTGTCTTTTATTTGTATTTTTAGCACAATAAACACTCCATTTTAAATATATACTAATTAATGTAATATGATCACCACTTTCATGACTGAATTCGGCACGTGCTCGCGAAATCATACCTCTGGATTCCTGATCTTCACTAATCCACCAAATATTCCGTGATACAGTTAGCATCCCTGCTAGAACCAGTGCATACCATAGACAATCAAGTTCTTGTCCCTTGAATAGCATGGCTGTCAATTTTGGATCGATATCAAGCCGTGCCATATTTCTGCCCAGCTGAGTCAATTTACCTTTTGAATCAACTGCATTTAACCAAATTAGTAATTGATTAGCTTCTTGTAAATTAGAAATCGGTGGTGACTGAAGCCATTCAAATGATTCGATGCGATCAATATTTAAATTCTTTAATTTTAATATAGCCATTGTTGGCTGAGCAAATAGAATTTCTGTTCGTGAACATTCGTCCATAGATTCGTAAGTTTCTACTGTGTATAAATGATAGCACTGAAAAGGGAAAAACAATTTTCAGCCTCGTCTTTTCAAAACTAAACAATGACATACAACTGATTTACTCGACTAATTAAAAGTAATTCTGCACACATTGACCGTATTATCCTTTACAGTTAGATACTTACGTCAAACTATCGAAAAACCCATCAAAGTCTATAACGTCATGTCTTTGCTGTCATATTCTGTGAATGGTAGTGGCTCTACAACTCGACCTTCTATATTTCGAGACTTCTCGAAAAAATCGTGTTTTACGAGATATACAACAAGTTTAAAGCTTTTCAATAATTTCTAGCATTTAAATTTTATTTCTCTTACCTTTCCAGCTGATGTTCTTCCAGCAATTCTACGTCGTTGTTTAACAGAAGTTTTTGTTATTTGTCCAATCTTTACTACTGGAATTTTTCGTTTTTCATCCCACATTTTTTCTTTTACCATTCCACTTTCGACAACATGTTTTATTCCATCAACAGCAACCGAAGTCTCTGCTACATTGGTGCTGAAAATAATTTTACGCTTATCAGGCATCTTTTCAAATATTCGTGCAAATTCTTTTTCAGACAATTTTCCATGCAATGGTAAACCTATGTATGATCTATCATATTCCAATTTCTTTTTTAAATCAATTAAAGCTAAGTCAATTTCATCTTGACCAGCTAAAAACACTAATATATCACCGATGTCATAACTTTGATGTATTTCAATAGCTTTTGTAACTGCTGCTTGAACATAATTTTCATCATCATCTAGATAATAATCTTCGATTGGGTAGGTCCTACCAGCAACTTCTAATGTTTCACATGTAAAATTACTTGAAAAATAGTCATAAATAAGACATGTGTCTAATGTAGCGGACATGACAATAAGCTAAAATAAGAATAATTTATAGAACAAAACCAATCTTAAAATCCAATTGTGATTAAACTAACCTTTAAATCTTTTCTTTTTCTCAAACATCGTTTCATTAATCCTAACACAATGTCAGTGTCGATTTTCCGTTCGTGTGCTTCATCCACAATGACGACGGAGTACTGTTCTAACGTTGGACTGTTTTGATATTCATTGAGAAAGAGTACATCAGTAACGAATTTTATTTTAGTTCCATTGGAAGTTGTACGTTGATCACCGGCTACTTGAAAACCAATCTAACATATAGACATCAAAATTAAATTAGAATAAATATTAAAAATCATTAATTTGCTTACTTCTTCACCGATCTTCCATCCATATTCTTCGGCTACTCGCGCTGCTAAAGATAGAGTTGCTAATTTACGTGGTTGCGTACATATGATTTGTTCTAAAATTGTCAGGTGGTAATTAGATGTTAAAATTAGTATTCAGGAAGACAATGTTTTCTTACTTTCGTCAGCAAAATTGGCATCGCATAGATATTGAACTATTTGTGTACTCTTTCCTGAACCAGTATCAGCTTTTAAAATCAAAACTTGATTTATTTTCAATTTTTCAATAATATCCGAGCGTCTTGCATATACAGGAAGATGTGATTGCCAACGTTTTAGTTCGCGTTCTAGTTTTTGTTTTATACGTTGCAGTTGTAACATTTTATCGCTATTGTCTCTTAACAATGAAAGAATTTCGTTATATTTCATGCTTAGACAGCTAATAACAGACTGAAATTCATTTCTTTGTAATCTTGATTCTATTAATGCGTTCTGTTGCAGAGTCTCAAATACTTGTTCATCATTAATATCGAATTCGTGCAAATTTTCTTTTGCTTTTGATAAAAATTCATCAATTATTTCAATAAGTTCAGTATCCAATTGTTGCTGTTGTTTTGCATCAGTTGTACTATTCGTTGTCTTAGTGTCATTATTAATAGGAACTTGATTGATATCTTCATCAGTCGGATGACCAAAGCTACTACTAGGTGACGAATTATAAGATGCCAACGAGCACTGATATTGGTGGTTACGGTATTCTAAATGTGATGGTGACGAAGTACCTTGACTTGATGCAGTGTTTTTTTCAGTACTTTCAGAGGAAAAGGTCATTTTGTGGTCAATTGATCCTCCATTCGGGTGATTGAAATGACAATCGAGTAGAGTACAATTCATATCGTATTTGCAATCAGATTTTGTTGCTGCTGTTGCACCTTTCGATGCCTCTGAATGCGTAAATGTACAACCTTTTCTTCGATAATCTCTATCGTATTTACATGGTGTGGGATTAGCACCAGCGCGTCGAACTTTTGGTTCACTAGAGTAAAGACGATCAGTCCCGTCGTCTTTATTCTTCCTCTTAAAGGAACTAGATGCCATAATATATTTCGTCACAAGTCTAAAGTTACGAAGAAATCAGATACACCTTGGTTAAAGTAATATCATTTTATTCAAATTGCAATCACTTTCGAACTCACCCTGCTATTATCAACGCACTACATGATGTGTTGCGGGCAATTAAAAAAAAATGAAAAGAAGAATGCTTAAATAAAAGTGTCTTGTTAAAAATACCCACTATTTTTTGCTCTCCGTGACACAGTCATACTATTTGTCCTCAGCAAGAAAGAAAAAAGAATTGTTTTCTGCTAATGCAGTTTTCATTTGCATCCGATCAGTTTACACGACAGAAAAAAAATGCAATGAAAAGAGGACGAAGAGCAAGCTAGAAAATATTGGAGAACAAATTTTTCAAATTTCGAATAAAAAGACTCTCCTGAAGATCTACATCGAGAAAACAGCAATCAGATAATATAAGAACGTCCGAAGAGTCTATTTCAACACTCTATACCAGCGAGATAACAAGCATTGTGTAAATATTTTCGATACGAGAAAATTTGACTCACATATGGTTAATATTTATTTTCTTTCTTTATTTCATAAGTCAATTCTTTTCATAAGAAACACGCATTTATATAACGAACATGAAGACGAAGCAAGACAGTATTTAGAGCGTACGTGAATGTGTTTGTGGATGCGGTGTGGGTGGGTGAGTGTGGATGTGGGTCTCAGATTTTTCTGTATGTGTGTTTATGACGGGTAAAAGCACAGCGAAATCAGCGAAACAATAGCAAGTTCTCAGTGATTGGTACTTAATTTTTTAAACGGGTCTAGATTTAACTTTGATATTAATGTATCGAGAAAATTATTCTTAATCGAACTGTGTTCTTGATTTTTGTATTAAAAAGTAGCAAGTAAAAACAGAGGGCACTATCATACATTACTGATAAAATTGTCTGAAGGGTGTGGGTGTGTGTGGATGTTTCGTCTCCTTCCTCACATTCCACACCCACACCCTTCATAGTTTTAATCAAATGGTTTTAAAAAAAAATAACTTCACGGATTTTGCAAGAGATTTTTAGGGTTTCAATAGTTTGACTTCAGTGTTTTAAGATTTTTCAGAACAAAAATCTGAATAATAGGCATATGTTGATGCATAAAGTTCCAAATTTTCAAGAAATTAATAAATGAAAGGAAATCTTCTACTGGTGCGAGGGATTTAATCATAAAAGAAGGAAAATAAATAAGATAGATCGGCAATCAATACTAATTCCATCTCTGTTTTATACTAGGGTGTGGGTGTGTCGGTGTGAGTAAATAGGAGACCAACACCCACCCACACCCACACCCACACCCACCCACACCCACACCCACACCCACCCACACCCACACCCACACCCACCCACCCATCTTTCAAACAGTATGCCAGAGGAGTCTTTCTACAGAGAAGTACTCGAAAAATGATCTGACTACGATAACTTTCTCATTGCGTCGTTGTTTAGAGGCAAGCTTTTTTTGAACGATTTTTTACTTTTATGCTTTACACTCGGCAACTCGACAAAACAAAATTTACTTCTGATGGATCGTTAGATTACGATAGACCTCGATATAAACTTCCAAAATGCTAGCAAAGTCTTTGCTATACTTCTCACAGAAAAGACTAAAATTCTCCATTTCTTACCATGTATAAAAGTTCATTAAACGAATGAAATGCATTAATAAAAAAAACACAAACGGCAATCTCTTTTGGTAAGCACTGTAATTATTGATATATTTCGATTGTTTTCACTATACGAAAGCATCAAAAACAGCATTATTCGATCAACACATCACATATCGTATGATCGTTTACCATATGTTTAACATGATCATCTCCTTTCAGTAGAGATTTAGCGACGCTTATGTCGTGTTACTTGTATTTAGTTTTCACTATGTTTATATTTTACAAACGGTTTACAATAAATAAGCGTATAATTAAAGATAAATGAAAATTTTTTAAATGTAGAAGAGACTTCGTTAACAAAAATAAACTAAAAACACGAACGTCAAAACAGATATTTCAAACACTACATAGTTTTCAGAAATTCTTACTGTCTTTGAGTAACGTAAAATTTCAAGCAAAATAAATAAACAAACATATAAGTTTTTGTCATTTGTGTTTTAAGGAATAAAATACATTTTCAAGGTAATTGTTGCACATTAGATGATCATCATCATCAGTCGGCTGCAAACAGGCGCGGTTTACAGGCGATAACAATATCGTACCAGCTTTTCCTGTCTGCAGCAGCCTTTCTGATTTCTTCGATCGTTGGTGGATTGTCATTGTTGATCAGTCTTGCGACGTAATCAACGTATTTCAAGCGGGGTCGTCCACGCTTACGTTTTCCATGGCCAGGTTTCGGAGTGTACAGAGCATACATGTTGGTAAATTCATTTGAGTTTCGGCGTAGGCAATGTCCAATAAAGCGCAGTTGTCGACGTTGTATTGTTTGCACCAGGGGTTCTTGTTTCACTTTTTCGTAGATTGTGTTATTTGATATTTTGTCCAGTCGTTTAATGTTGAGTATTATTCGATAACAGCTAGTAGCGAAGCTGTTTAGGGACTTCTCAAGGGTTTTTGTGATGATCCAGCTTTCGGAGCCATATAGTAAAATCGAAATGCAAGAAGTTTTGAAGATGTCAATCTTCAGCTTCGTAGGTATTGTTGTTGATTTCCATATGTTTCGTAATTTCCAGAAAGCTTTCCATGCTAACCCTTTCCTTACTTTGATGTCTGTGTTGCTTGAGAGTACCATTGAGCCAAGGTATTTGAAATTGTCTACCCATTGAATGTCTTCTCCGTTTATTTGCATATATTTGTTGTTGGTATTTTGGTTTGTTAGTGCTTGTGTCTTTTTGATGTTGACTTGTAAGCCTACTTTGTCGGCCCATTTCGTCGTTGTGATCAATTGTGTTTGTGCTCTGTCGAAGTTACTTTCGAACAGAGCGATATCATCAGCAAAGGCTAGATCGTGAATTGTTGTTGCTGGTTGTCGTTTTGATTGTCGTTGATTTGTTACAAATCCATGTTCGCCTTGTTCGTTTGTGTGTTGTGTTTCCGCATTTTTCATGACGTAATCGATTACAATAATGAAGAGGAATGGTGCCAATGTATCACCTTGTAAAACACCGGTAGTAACGTCGAATTCTTCTGTGAGTTGACCATCCACCAGAACTGCACTTCGTGAGTTGTCGTATATGGATTGAATTGCGTTGATCATTTTCATTGGTATTCCATAATGCCTGAGAATTTCAAACATTGTTTTTCTTTCAATAGAGTCAAAAGCTTTTTTGAAGTCTATGAAGGTGATGTAGATTGGTAGTTGTTTATCCACTGCACCTTCTAGTATACGACGTATTATATGTATTTGATCTATGCAGCTTCTTCCTTTCCGGAAGCCAGCTTGATTTATTCGAAGAACTGAATCAAGCGGTTCCCGTATTCTATTTAGAAGTATTCGATTGTATGTTTTGGCTGCAACAGACATGAGACTGATACCTCTGTAGTTCGGCATGAGGGTTTTATCTCCCTTTTTGGGTATAGGGATGATGATGTTGGTGTTGAATTGTGTTGGTGTTGTTTGATTTTCGAATATTTCGTTGCATATATTGCATAGCTTGTGAACGATCCAATCGCCACCGTACTTGAGTACTTCTGGTGTTATGATGTGATCGAGTCCGGGAGATTTTCCGTTTTTTAGCTGTTTGATTGCTTGTTGTACTTCGTCGATCGAAATTGGGCCTGTGTTGATTGGAAGATCTTTGTCGGCTGGTGGAATTGTTTGTGTAGTTGGAGATGTATTTGACTTGACGTTGAGTAATTCTTCAAAGTATCGTTTCCATTCGTTCATCAGTTCTGCGGTTGAGTTTATTTTAGAACCGTTTGTGCTTTTGATCTTTGTGGCGTTGTTGTACCTACGTTTCCCACTAATTTGATCTATGAGGTTCCACGTGGTTCTTGATTGATTTGAGATTGCGGCTTGATTCAATTGTTCAAGTTTATCTTCAAGGAATTGGATTTTGTCGTTTTGGTAAGATGCGTTGAGATGTTTGTTGAGTTGATGCCAGTTGTTTTTGTTATTTGGGTTTGGTTTTTGTTTGAATATGTTTTTGGCTTTGTTTCGTTTTCTCAGAAGGTTGATGGTTTCGTCCGAGACCCAGTTCTTTTTGATTGATCGTTTTGTTTGTCCGACTAGTTTTTCTGTTGTTTGTTTTATACTTTCTATAAAATTGTCATATTCTGTTTGTATGTTGTTGTTGTCGAGGTTGTTTGCGTTGAGGACGTCGTAACGATTTTGGACTTCGATGTTGAATTGAGATTGGAGACTGCAGTTGTTTTTGAGTTTGGTCCAGTCGTATATGATGCGTTGGCATTTGTTGTTTTTTGGTGCTCGTAGGCTGATAGACATTTTTACACTCACTATTCGATGGTCGGAATGTAGTTCGACCGTGTTGTACGCGCGAGCATTTCGAATTGAGTTTAACCATTTCCCATTGATGAGGATATGGTCTAGTTGAGCTGTTGATTTGCCATTAGGGTGTAGCCAGGTCCAGGTTCGTGATTTTGGTTGAGGGAAGCGTGTTTGTGTTGATCGCATGTTGCATGCTTCGCAATAGTTGACCAATCTATTGCCATTGTCGTCTGTTGTGTTGTGATATGTGTGTCTGCCGATTGCTCGTGGATTGGTTAAGTGGCTGTCGGATCCGAGTCTTGCATTTAGATCACCGGCGAGAATTAGAACATTGTGAGGTGGAACATCTAATGTACATTTTTGTAGATCATCGTAGAACGCATCTTTATCAGCGTCACCTTTGTCTTCTGTGGGCGCATATGCAACGATGATTGCTATTGCAGGATTGGTTTTGAAATGTACGATTAAGATTCGATCGGATATTTTTTCGGTTGAGGAGTGTAGTGTAGAGAACCGTGGATTCATGAGTAGACCGACGCCTCCCTGACCTGTTGGTGTTGCTGAGGAGTATTCGAAGCGCCATTTTGAATT